CATGGTTATGACTTTTATTTTGAATTCTTTTTTGGGAAGATTGTTTATATCTATCTTGCCAGACCCTCTCTCTGGCGTTGTTTGAGTGATTTTCTACTGGACCAGGTTCTTCTGCCTTTTCGTGTTGATAGAAGTGATCGTTGGCAAGTGGTGCATGTGTCAGCTAGGAGAGCAAAGTCCCTTCCTGCTTGCTGGTCACCTTGCCCTTCTCTGCTGTCTGTGCCGGTTACCTGCACAGAGGGAGCAGTCTCTGGGTTAATCCCCTGAGCTTCTGTAGGCGGGGCGGCCCTCAGGATAGCCTAGGGCTGGGGATCGCAGGCGTGCAGAGTGTGTTCTCCTGCAAGAACGGCACCTCTTCATCCTTTCCGGACTTTGTGCTGGCTTCCTCTGTCTGTACCGGGGAGCTGTGTGCTGGTGGCAGCCTCTGGATCTGGCCCGATTAGCTGCACACTGGGAGAAGACTCAGTGTGGTTGCTGTGGGCAGGGCTGCTCCCTGGCTGGTCCACAGCAATGGCAGTCAGCCAGTTTGCTTGCAGTGCCGGCCAGGGAGAATGAATGGCAGGCTGCTTATTCCTGTGAGGGGCTTTGGAGCTGTGTTGCTATCCAGGGGCTTAGGGAGCCTGAAGTTCCTTAAGATTCCCAGCCTGCTGGGCTGAGTGTTCTGGGATGATTTTGTTCACTTGTTAAACCCTTGTCCCTTTAAGACTTTTAAAGCACCTGCTTTTCTTTTGTCCCAGGCAAGCTGGCTGTGGGGACCCACTTGCAGTCTCCATCTAGGGTTTTACTTTTCTGTTTCTCTAATATCCAGTATACCATGCAATGTGTGTCTGTGCTCCCGGTGCATATTATTAGGGCTGGTTATTTAGCAGTCCTGTGCTTCCACTCCCTCCCCACTCTGAATCTTTTCCTGCTGCCTGTGATCTGGGGTGGGGGCAGTGCTCAGGTCCCGCCAGGTCTCAGCTTTGTATCTTACCCTTTCATGAGATTCTGAGTTCTCCCAGATGTAGGGCCAGGAGTCGCAGGCATGCAGAGTGTAAATGTAGCCTGGCTGTTGTACTGTATCTTCTGGTCTCTCTTTTAGGAGTAGTTGTATTTGCTGTATTTTCAAAATATATATGGTTTTGGGAGGAGATTTCTGCTGCCCTACTCATCTTGAGCGCCTCCCTCTCCTAATCTGCTTTTAAAGCCCTCCATTGAAGATTTTTCAAAGTTTCTATCTCTTTCTTGAAGTCATCCCTGAGATCTTAAATAGTTTTTCTGTAGCTCCATGATCATGTTTATCATTTTTATTTTGAAATCTTTATCAGGAAGATTGGTGATTTCAGTTTCACTTAGCCCTCTTTCTGGTGTCTTCTGCAGTATTTTTGTTTGTACAAAATTTTTTTGCTCTTTCATTTTTTTAGTAATTCCTATGGAATTACTTTGTGTAGGCAGTGCCTTCTATTGCCCAGAAGCTCTATTCTCTGGATCTGCTGAGCACCTGTAGCAATGAAGGGGGTCACAGGTGAGTGGATCCGGCACCTTCTGGGAAGAAAGCGCTTTTCTGCTTCTCAGCTGTAGTGCTTTACTCCACTGCCAGGTCCAGTGAGCCATTTGTGCAGGGAGGAGCCTCTGTGCAATGCCCCTGTAGCTTCTTTAGGTGGGGCCAACCTCTGGCGGGCCTGGCATGATGGTTAGGGCAGCAGGTGTGCAGACCAGTGCTTGCCGGGAGGACGAAGTGGCAGGCTGTGTATCACACTTGGGGGCCTCGGTGCTCCATTGCCAGCCAGGGGAATGGAGCGTCTGAAGCTCCTGAGAGTTCCCAACCTGCTGGGCTGAGTGTGCTGGGATGATTTTGTCTGCCTGCCCTTTCTCATGAGCAGTGAGGTCTGTGTAATCTTTGCCCCTTTAGCTTCCCTCTCTCTTTTGAGAAGTCTGTCAAAGTACCTGCCTTTCTATTGTCTCGAAGCGACCAGTTGTGGGTATTTGATTTCCACAAGTGGGTGGAATGTCTGTCTCTCCAAGTTTTCTGCCTGTCTTTGCTTTCCAACCCCACTGATCTCCAGAGCCCCATGTAATGTGGGTTCCTGCTCCCGGAGCAGATCTCCAGGGTTGGGTGTTTAGCAGTCCTGGGCTTCTACTCCCTCCTGAGTCCGTCTCTTCATCTCACCTGTGAGCTGGAGTGGGGTAAGCACTTGGGTCCTGATGGAGCATGGCTTTGATACTTTACCCTTTTCTGTGAGGTCTTCTATTTTCCCCAGATGTAGGAAGTCTGGTCTGAAGTCTTCAAGTTGCTCTTTCAGGATTAGTTATATTTGCTGTATTTCCCTGTTATATACGGTTTTGGGAGGAGGTTTCTGCCTCACTTCTCACACTGCCATCTTTTTCCTGTCTCAACTTGTCTTAATGTAACAGAGTGCTCCTGCCCACTGGTCACCCCTGACCTGGGTCAGTCAGTTGTAGATCTGAGGGTCAGCCAGCCCTGTGGCTGGGCTTGTCTAGGCTGGTGCCTTGGACCTCACTTATACCCACTGGTCTGCCCCCTGCTGGCTTGGGCAAAGCTGCTGTGAAGCATACTTATCGGGCTATCAGGGCTTTGTGACAGGGGCTATAGCTGGATCTTCCTTTCTTTGGTTAGAGCCTTTGCTAGCTTCTGCAGGCTGTGCCTTCTGCAGCAGCTGAGAGAAGAGCACAGGGCATCTCCTGCTCACTTTCTGATCCCCTGCTGCTTGTCTTAGGCCATAGGTGTTCTCTGTGACCCCTCAGCCATTCACACCTGGCTCAGCCTCTCTCGAGTCAGCTGCTCCTGAGCCTTTGTGGTGAAATGGGGTGCTCACCTAAATTCACCTTCTTTATGCCTTTTACCTCCTCTTATTGCCGTGGTTCTTAAACTAGAAATGTGGCATGCACGACTGCTGTCTTTCTCCTCAGCAAATATAAATGATGACACCATTGGGCAGGGTCTATTTCTATACCTTTCAATACTGGTATTGATTGTGTTTTGGTCCAACAGGCCAATTATAAGTGGTCTATCACAGTGAGGAGTTATGAGAGAATACCAGCTTTACTTCTAAAGTTGTGTGGGCATGGGCCAAATCTTTGAACATCCCTCATCTGTTATTCCATTGTGGCTTCTAGGTTAAGGTGGTTGTTGCTCTTTACCCAAGCAACTAAGGATTTTTATGAAGGCAGATAGCTATAAACGCTTTGGGAAGTGGGAACTAAGATTTTTGTGTTCTTGATGGCTATAAATGCCCCTCTCCCCAAATCCATATGAAATAAAAGTTACCTCTTCCATTGACTTATTCAATTGTCAAATTGTTGATTGATCTATTTAAGAGACCTTAAAAGCCCACCTAGGAATGGGCATCTCTATCGTTGAATTCTCTAATTCTCTTGAGAGCCAGTGATTTGTGCTGGCAAATTTCTCTTTCCTGACCTCGATTATTGGGTTACTGGGACAGAAATTTTCAAGTATCCTTCTGTGTTATGATTATTGTTGATTCCTTTTTTATTGTTATCACCTTTCTAGATCCTGATGGCCTTGACTTCTAGGTGATACAGAAGTAGTCCCTTTCTTTCATCATTTCATCGTTTTCTTCACCCTCACACTTAGCAAGTGTATTGCTAGAGACAAGATCATCACAAGCAAAATTTGTAGAGTTTAACATTTGATTTGTGGAGAGCTGGGCAATTTATCGTATACATGGAATGAGTTTTTGGAAAACTATTTTTATTACTAAAAGGAAAATCTTACTGTCTGGTTTCTCAGCTTAAGAATCTGACAGTGGGGGCCTCAGTGCCTATATGATAAAGGCCACCTTTCCTAGCCTGGCATTCATAGTCTGGCCCTGCCTTTTCATACCCTCATCTATTCCTACTCTCCTTTTTGCCCACCCACCCAAACCTTATGAAACTATTTGCCATTGATCAAATGAGTTTTGTTCTTTCATCCCTCCATGCTTTTCCCCTCTTGTTCACCTGACAAAATTCTCCTTGTCCTTGAAAAGTCTCTCAAGCTTTATCTCCAGACACCTTCTCTAATCCTCTGAGACTTGCGGGTAGGGGCCTCTTCGCTTTCACAGCACTTTGTCAGTACCTCTAGCACATGTTGGGCTCTAGCTGTTTGCCTGCAGGCCCTTAGTTACTATGAGCCCAATGAGTGTGAATGATTTTAGATATCAGTGCTTGTTCTTCTCGGCAGATCCCCTAGACCCTTCATTCCCAGTGGAGTTTGTAAGACATGGAGACATCATTCGACTAGAACACAAAGAGTAAGTAAATTTGCTGTTTGGGTTAAATGAGTGGTATGGGCACCAAGATAGGGAGTTCTTCTAAGCTGGAAATGAGCGGAAGTCACATTTGGATGGGGCTCTAGTAAATGGAACAAGGCTGCTGTGCTAATAGGGGACCATTTTGTGAAGGTTGATAAAATGAGCAGGCCAGCCTTTGCCTGCCTCTCTTGGCTTTAGGAAGCTTTGAATTTTGAAGGTACTTTTCAGTTTCTCTTTTCCTAGAGGAACAAAGGAAAAATTTGAGTTGCCCAGAGCTGCTGTGTAAGTGACTACCTTTATAAAGATGTGGGAGTCTGGTTCTGAAAATACGGCAAGCTAGTTTATTGACCCAATATTCTCACTGAAAATGACTAAAAATGCTGGAATAGTATAAAAACATCTTCTTAAACGTTGAAAGAGCTGACAAGGTAGTAAGGAGATACCAGGCTAAAATCTAAGTGAAAGGGGTGAATCCAGAGAAATCAGTGGGACACTGTAGCTACTTCTGTCTTAAACCCATAATCTGGTGTTTTGATCTTTGCTTTTGAACACCTCTCGAGAGAAGAAGGAATTTTAAAGTCAAAGCTCTAGGGTCATCCAAAGTAGTAAATTTATTAAGGGATTCTTCCCCAGATACAGAACCCCAAAGGGCTTGGTGGGGGGAGTAAAAGGAGACTGCCTCTGATTTCTGAGTAGTTGTAACTATCAGTTGATCCTCACAGGGATTTGCAGCCCAAATTCATTTCACCTGGATGGTCTCAAAATCTTTAAGCCATGAATTTAAATGAACATGATCCTAGACTAGTAATGTTTCCTTGGTGCCTAGCTAAAAACGAATGTAAATCTTTTGGGAAAGACATTGTCATCTATTCCTGTAAATAGTTTTTCAGTGACAGTGACTAATACACATTAAAAAGTAAGCACACGAGGAAACAGGGCATCATGTGCAAGAACAAACAGGAACAATAGCAGAAGCAGCCCTGCAAAAGTAGGATTTCTAGTCAGTAGGATTATGTATACTCAAAAATATTATTACTAAATAAATTCATTTTCTTTTGTTAAATTATAAAATTTTACTTTTGCATATTTCCAAAATTTTTATAATGAACATTTATTTCCTCTTATGGGTAAAAGTAAGGCTTATTATAAAAAGCACAAAGTAAATGAAAGTAAATGATGCCCCCAACTCCTCTACAGATCCTCACTTTATAAAACTGGTGGTGGGAGTAGAAAGAGTAAGAGAGGAGGTTTACCTATTTCAGGCATATGTAGATCATAAATTTTAATTTTCTCCTCCCCAAACCTGCCTTATAAGTCAAGCAGAGCCACCAACCGTGTTGTCAGTTATTTCCCACCCCACCCCCCACAAAGTTAACCCTTTCTTGGCATGTAGCCCAGTACTCCTAACCATCAATCCCTCCTGGTTTGGGTAGTTCTCCAATTCTCTGGATATTTCTTGTGAGTAAATAGACAAGGTCCTGCCATGTTGGATTTAATAGTTCAGATTCTAATTTTTCTTATCCTAACAGTTGACTCTGAATATCCTTGGAAAAAGAAGAAAAATTGCACATCTCTTTTCTTCAGGATAATGGCAGTTCTCTCTTTTGACTTCTAGGACTTCTCGGAACTTGCATAGTCACTATCATGAAGCCCCCCTGACCCGGAAGCACTATCAGGTCACTGGCTATGGCATAGTAAGTGAGCAACTGGAGTGTGAACAGGATGCAAAATGTTGTGTGCCCTGGCTCAGGGCCATGTGGTAGAACATATCCTCCCCAGAATTCTGGAATGTTCCCAAAGATTGGAGGCTGCTCAGGGACTCTCAGCACCTGGGGACATTTTGGCTAGGTTTGCTGTGGGAAAAGCAGCCTATCAATTCTGTTTGTCTCCATCTCTCTCCTGCCATAATAACCATGCCATTTTTATGTTCTGACAATAAATGTCAAACATGAATCCTATTTGGGTCCTTTTTAAACTCATTTTGGACATAGAAACCATGGACTCACACTATAATTCCAGTTGAACATATGTTTATTCTTTGCCAAATCCCAAATTCTCATTGGCTTTATTTATAAGTATTACTTCCCTGTTCTCCAGAGGGATGCTAATCACATTGCTTTTGGATTCTTACTACCTTGGGGTGATGCAATTAATGGAGGAAGCTCTATGAGTACCTGTGGTTTGGGGAGTAATTTGAGAACAAAAACTGCTAGCGGGCAACTAGACTTGACTATCAGTTACACTTCTTTTTAGGGGCTTTGTGCATTAGTAAAGATTCTGGGTTCCTTAAGGTGGATTTTCCAATCCTCTTTCTATTAGTGAATCCCACAGTGTACTAGAGCCAAGACTCTGAACTTCATCTTTTTCTTGTGGGCATCTCCTGAGGAGAATTAAACAACTGTCTTAATATCCAAAGTGCACTATCTGGGCCAGACCTTTCTAGCGTAGATGAGTGAGTGTCCAGGTGGCTATGGTAATGGATGCAGGTGGCCCAAATCTCTTTCTGTTGGCTTAGGGTGATATCTTCAGTGTAAGTACAAAAATCTGTTGTGAATTTAAACTTTAGTCCTATGAAGTGAATAACTGGACTTCAGGTTCCAGGAGTTATACTGCTTTTCTTGGTTGTAACAGTGAATGCTGGGGCAGTGTCCATCACTTGGGAGATTTCTGTGGTCCTCTGGTTCTCTTTCCCACCTCAGCCATTGAGGTCAATTTGATTTTTGGCCTTTGTAACAGGGTAGCATCCAAAAGGGTAGCCAACTCCCCTTTTCTGACTCATCTTCTCTAAAGTCATCTTTGTGTTTTTTTTTTTTTTTCCTTAATTTATGCGGCAGAATGGGACAGGGGACTCAAACGATTTCTGGCGGATTGAGGTTGTAAACAAAAAATTTGGAAACCGGATCAAAGTGCTGAGAAGTCGAATTCGCTTCATCCATCTAGTCACAGGTTGTGTCCTGGGCTCCTCAGGAAAGGTCCTGCCCAAGTGGTGAGTCTCTGGAGTTTTGATGTCCCAGTCAAGGTTCATGCTTTTCCTTTCACACTATAAGGCATATACCAGAAGCCTCTTTTTCCCAACTGTCAGTGTTCACCTCATGTTTGCTTATTTTTAGTGGCAGACGGAGGGAGAAAAGGCCTGAGGTGTGTCACAGAGCACAGAGCACTGGGTCTGTGTGCCTTTCTAAAATGGGCATACTATATGCTAGACTACTTCTAGGATAGTTGTGGAACATAAATTTGAGGCTGAAAAAGGTGTTGCCACTGGGTTGAAGAGAGAAGGGTTCTGTGGATTTAAGAGCAGTCATAGTGCTGTTCTCTGGTGAGTTTCAGGTCTTCTGGGCCACATCTGTGGCTACTTTTTTCACAGGGGCTGGGAGCAGTTGGAAGTTACCTGCACCCCTTATTTAAAGGAAACTCTCAACTCCATCTGGAATGTGGAAGACCATATCAATCCCAAATGTGAGTGACGTCATTTCCTGGGCTGGCTCTGAAGGGAAACATTTATAAGTAGCTCTTATAAAGAGTTATATAGAGTTTGTAACTATAAAGAAAAACAAACCTTTGTAAAGAAAACAAACTCTGCTGCCACTTTATCTTGCTGTTGCCATTTTCTTCCTTTCTTAAACCTGATCTCTTCCTATGAGTTGTCTAGGTAGGAAGCTCCTTTTCTTTCCCACCCGCTTAAATTTCCCATTGTCCTTAAACTCCGCTCCTTAATGACCAGTGACCTCATCTGGGGCCATAGCTACCTGCCTTTTCTCATTTTCCTTCCTTTTGCCAGATCTGACTCTTCTCCTTCCTGCTGCCTGTAATGCAGGCCCATCTGTCTTGTCACCATCTAGGCTTTCCTGTTCTCGGCCCCATGGGCACCTCCTTATCAACAAGGCTTAATGCTTTCACTTTACACCTTGTCCTCCCCACATCCAGCCAAAAAAAAAAGAAAGCAACCGCGCAACCCTTGATCTGATCCCATTTCTGTATTCCAGGCTCTAATTTTCCATGTCCACTTCAGTGTCACCTTCACCTCAGTGAGTCTTTGGACTTGTCATCTTTCCTCCTAAACTATCCCCTTCAAGCTTCTTGATTTCTCCTGTCTGTGCTTCTCTTTCCATTCTTTTTACCACCTAACCTAACCAAATAGCCAATTAATTAACTAGTTAAACAACTCTTTGTTGAGTCTGATGGGAACCATGTAGGGCCCTGCGGATTCTCTGGTGAATGAGGGATACTTGGCTCCTGCCTCACAGACCGTCCGCCTGGAAGGGTAGAGCAGCATCTGAGCCAGTACCGTAATGAGGGGTGACGGTGCTGAGATCTGGAAGGAGGTGGCTGGGGCAGCATGGACAGGCCTTGTGGTCTGGTGCCTTTGTGTTTCTTAGAATTGCCTGATGAATGCTAACTGCAAGCTGAATGAATGATCAAGAATTGGGCCAAGCTTTCTTCTGTCCCCTCAATGCTCTTATCTATGTATTAGCTTCTCAGGAAGGCTACCCTCAGACTCTGGCATGCTGTGGATTAGGACAGCTGTGAGACAGAATGTGTGGCAAAGGTTTTCTCTGTGATTTCTTTTTCTAGTGCCAAACATCAGCCTGGATGTGCTGCAGCCCAGTTTTCCTGAGATCTTGCTGGAGTCCCACATGGTGATGATCCGGGTACTGTGACCTTACCCATTTGGTGGCTTCCCTAAGAGCTCTTGGCCATACTTACATTTGGTTCACAAATGAGTAGGCATGGTATGGATCTACTGCCCCCTGATGGAGGACTTTGAAAGTGTCTTCTCTTAGTGGTTTGCTTGGTTTTCAGGGGCAGCCCACCCTCTCCCCCTTATCATCAAACGATGATGGTGATGATGATGGTAACTGCACTGATGCCATGAACACTTGCTTAGGCACTATTCACTTATTTAATACTCATTACAGTCCTATGGAGATTGTTGATCCTAGTTTACAGATGAGGAAATTGAGGCAGAGAGTTGTTAAGTAACTTGCCAGGGTCACACAGCTAAATGTAAGAGGTGGCTCCAGGCTTCAGAACAAGGCTGGCAGGCTTCAGAGTCAGTGCTAGTCACCACTACTCTCCTCTGTCTCTAAGTGAGTTTCAGAACTGTTCAAGTGGCCGAGTCCCCAGGAACCAGAGTGCTCTTGCTTGAAGATCATGAGATGTTGATAGTTCATTCCATCATATAAATTTAGGATCACTTAGGATGAACGGCTAATTTGAGTGTGTCATTTATATGCAGCATAAAATCCCAACCGTCAGTCCACTCATGGTCCTGGACTGACAGAAACAAACTATTTGGGGGACACCTTCCTTTTAGCATTTTCTAGGACTCATTGTTATACTTCTAGCATTAGTAGCAGTCAGCAGTCATAGCATCAAAGGCCTAAGAACACTTAAGAGAGGAAAGCTTTAAATTGAGAAAATTCTCTCCACTAGCTTTAATCTTCCCTGTGAATTGGAGAAACCCTGCTGCAGTTTTGATATTTAGGGGGAGATGCCTTTATTCTGATTTATGGAAAACCAGTGTTCTTCAGAAATGGTGTTTCAGAATGCCTGTATCCCAAGCCCGATGTGTGGTTGCACTCCACCCACAGGGCTGCAGAGAGGTGTCGCAGTTGTTATTTTTCCCCGGGGAGCCATTGTCAAATGGGCTTTCCTGGAAGTGATTATGTAAGCAGAACTCAATAAATACAGTTGACTTACTTCACCAGATGAAATTTTAAAATGCAAATTTTGTCCTTTCTGCACATTGGGAGGTGATGAGTTGACATTGAGCAATCTATGGGTCACTTCTTCTCTGACTCTTTGCTTGTAGCTGTCACTGTGGCCTGGTGACATAGCTCTTTTGAATATGGGCCTGTCAGTCAAAATATCATTCTAGGTCTGGGTAGAATTTAAGACTAACTCTAAATAGTCTTCTTTCTTCTTTTGTTATCTAAGAGGTAGAGTCAAAGAAGAAAAGGGACATAAGAGATCATTCTTATTCACCTGATGCAGGGTCAGGATGAGGAGAGACCAGGCTGCAGAACTGCAGGGAAGGAGCTTTTCTCCTGCTGACGGGGGCGCTGAGGCCTGGCACAGAAGGCTGCCTTGCCTGCGTGAGGTTAGCAGGAGCGAGCCCGCTGTAAATTCTAAGCACACAGGACATTGTTCAAATGTTACAGATTTCCCTTCCTTCCATTTCTCCATTTAGTAAAGGAGCTGGGTTTCCTAGAGTTTAATGTAGTGGATAGGATGCTGTTGGCTTGTTATAGCTCTGGCTGGAGTCCCCAGGTTTAGGACTCAACCGTACTGGTCTGAGGGAACTGATTTCCCCCAGCAGCTGCTGCAGTGTCCAGTCATTCTTCATGGTGAGGCCCTCGGATGGCCATACTGGTTCAGGTGTTGTACAGTGCGCCCTTTGGGTCTGACACCCCCTCTGGCACTTTTGACCCTGGAGGAGCAACCCAGCCACCACAGGGGAGGCCTGCCAATGATTCCCATCCCCTTGAGGAGCTGGAGTAGGAAGGCGCTGGTGACGTTTGTTCACTGGATCAGAACTGGATCTTTCTTGGGCTAGACCAGTGGTTCTCAACGGAGGGTGATTTTGCCTCTCCCTGGATGTTTGGCGATATCTGGAGACCTTTTCGGCTGGCATAACTGAGGAATAATGGTGCTTCTGGCATCTAGAAGATGAGCAGAGGCCAGGAATGCTAAACATCCTGAACTGTGCAGGGCTACCCCACAGTTTGCTGACCTTGATGGCTGTATTGAAGGGACTGTCACTGCGGAAATAGAAGTTTGCTTGTTGGGAAGTAAGACAGCTGTAAGCAGGTAGACAGTGACTGCGAGCGAGCACCTGATTCTTCCCTGTGAGGGAGCGTTGGGGGAGGGCTTCTCTTGATACTTGGCCATATATCAGAGATACCTGGGCCTGTTGTTTCTGTCAGCCCTCTAGAGTGCTGTCTTGACTAGCTTTCTTTGTACTTTCCTGCAGGGGAACAATGGCCTCAAACCCAAGGACAATGAGTTCACATCCAAACCCTGGCACTGGCCTATCAACTATCAGGTAGGACTCAAGGCAGAGCTCCTTCCAGAAAGTGGAGCCAAGAGGGACCATTGAGACTTGGTGGAGGTGGGGTGTGCTGGGGTGACAGCATGAGGTGGCTGGGGCTGGCAGCCCAGATGCTGACCCAGCCTTCCCAGAGAGCTTAGGTGGGATTTGCATGTTCTGATCCTCCTGTTCAGACTCCCTTGGAGCACATGCAGGTGAGGTGAGGTGGGTCCTGGAGTAGCAGGGTGTCCTCTGCTCCACAGGGCCTGCGCTTCTCAGGGATCAATGACACAGACTTCCGAATATATCTGCTCGGCAACCCGGTGAGTGCACCGCACACCCCTGGTTTGGGCCCTACAGCTGAGCCTGGTGAGGGCCACCACTGTCCACTCACCCCCGTTCTCACTCCCATGCAGGTGGTTTGGTGGCTGAACCTACTGAGCATCACCCTCTACCTCCTCCTGGGGAGCTTCATTGCTGTAGCTGTGCAGAGAGGGGCACATCTGCCGCTGGAGGTTGAAGGTCAGGTTCCTTGGGCACTCCCTCTCCTGACCTTGCAGCTGGCAGGGTGCCTGACTCGGGGAGGGCCTGCCAGCTGAGGGGTTGTCCCTTGCCTTCACCCCCACTTTGTCCCTTCTTCTTTGTGTTTGAAAGCTCCCCGTCACAAATGCCCCGTGATGTGTTAAACACTACCCTCCCCACAGCCCTATAGGGTAAGGTATTATTACCCCCACTTTATGGCTTAGGAAACAAAGGCACAAAGAGGTTAAGAAAGTTGTCCCAGGAGGTATGCTAGGAAGTGACAGAGCTGAGTTTTTAAGCCAAGCAGTCTGGCTTCTGAGCCTTCACTTGTAACTGCCATGCTCTGTGCAGTGCTGCCTGTCTTTTCTCTTTTGCCCCTCCTGTTAATGGCCCTGTCCTCTAGTGGGGTGGACAGGGGCCCCCAGGGCACGGTCTGTGGGTCCCTGTCCTCGTGCTGCCCCTGGTAACTTCAGCAGCCAGCCACGAACCACAGCAGCTGAGACAGTCACGCAGGCTCCCTCTGCCTCTGCAGCCCTGTCTGAACAGCCATAATCCAAGACTGCTCACCTCCCACCTCCACCCTCCTCTGCCTTGTCTGCTGCTGCAAAGATCTCTGTGGCAGCAGAGGTGTGGGAGATGGAGGTGATGGTGGGGAAAGCTGTGTGGAGGCCTGTAGGATTTGGGCTTCTGTAGAGGCCGGGTTGCCTCCTGCTGGTGTTTGGGATCCCCACTGAGGGCGCCAAGCCCTCACTGGGCTGGATAATGAGCAGGGCTCTTAAGAGCCAGTTGCTCTTCTCTTGCGGCTGTGTAGGGCTGTTCCGCTTGATCCAGATGAGAGAAGGAGGGCCCAATAAGGTGATGTGGCTTATTCAAGTCACACAGCCAGGAAGGGCAGAGCTGGACTAGAGCCCAGGGTCTCTGCCCCCCACGGGGGGCTGTCTGCTGACTGGGGCTGTGCTGCTTGGGCCCAGGCCTGTCCCAGGTGCTGCTGCAAGGAGGTGGTCAGCTCCTGCTGGGCTGGGTGCTCCATTACTTCCCATTCTTCCTCATGGGCCGGATCCTTTACTTCCATCACTACTTTCCAGCCATGCTCTTCTCCAGCATGTTGACAGGTCAGCATTGCCCCTGTGGACTTGGGTGGTACGGGAAGGGGAGGCGGGGGGAAGAGGCAACATGGAGCAGCAGTGCTGAAACTGAATCTCTGACCTGGGGTGGCTCCTTTCTGCTGCATCCGCAGAGTCATCCTCTGACAGACTGTTGCTAACTTTCTCTTCTTTGCACTAGGCATTCTGTGGGACACTCTCTTGCGGCTCTGTGCCTGGAGCCTGGCCTCCTACTCCCTGGCCAGGGGTGTCCATGTAGCTGGAATCCTGAGCCTGCTTCTGGGAGCTGCCTACAGGTGAGCATCCCCTGTGCCTTGCATTGCTCGCCCCTGTCTGCACCAAGCCTCAGCCTTGCGTGCATTTTAGAATCCCCTCAATGCTTTCAAGGCATATGGATGCCTGGGCTGCGTCTCCAGAGATTCTGATTCAGTTGAGGCCAGTTTGGGCACCATCAGCCAATTTTCAGAGCTTTCAGGTGGCCCTAATGTGCAGCTAGATAGATGAAACATGCAGCTCTTTGCAATCTTTCCTTTTGTCAGTGGTTCCCAGCTCTTATACCACCCAGCACACCTGGAGCAGTGCCCCTCTTTAGTCCCAGTGGCTCCCAGTGGAACAGCTCTCTGTGGGCTCAGAATAACTGGGAGGAGGGTGTGGTGTGGCAGTCACCTGTCCTCTCCCCATTTGCTTGCCAGTCTCACAGATCCTCTGTTGAGAATCACTGGCCTTTAGGGGCCAGGGAGGCAACATAAACATGTGAACAGGGAATGGCGGGGCCTGTGGCCTGAGAGTACTTAGACGTTTGGACAAATACTCTGGGCCAAATGACCTATGACCAGACCCTGGGACTGGTCTCTCTCCTGGGCCTCTTGGAAAGAGCCCTTTCTTTTATTAAGTCAGCATCTACTAAGCTCTCGGACTACAGCGTGCCAAATGGCGCACTCAGACAGATGTGATGAGGGATGGGTCTTGTAGGGGGAGAAGACGTGAGCTCCAGCAGGGGGAGCTGGATTTCAGGAGTCCATAGGCCCAGGCCTTGCTGAGGATGCTAACTGCCTCCCTCTGGATTTCTCCCATAGCTTCTACCTCTTCCACCCGCTGGCTTATGGGATGGTTGGTCCCCTAGCCCAGGACCCCCAAAGTCCAATGGCAGGACTAAGGTGGCTGGAATCGTGGGACTTTTGAGACTCCAGCCTGTGTCCAGGAATGTCCCAGGGACAACCAGCTGTGGAGCCTCCCCCCAGGTCCTCCCAGCTTCAGGGAAGCTGCCTGAGGAGCCTGAGGAATCCTGCCGCCTGCCAGGACCAAGCTCTGGGAGCATACCCGGATGTTAACCCAGTGCTAGAGAGAGCTACAGCCCTGTCTGCAGAGATCCCACCACTGGGAATGGCTCAGCAAAACACAGCATTTCTCAAGCCCATTTCCCTGAGTGTGCAACATGAGGAAGGATGAGTGTGCAACAGTGCGTGTGAGTGTGAGGATACATTTGTCCATATACCTGTGGAATATAGACCATGACTATGGACAGCTGAGTGTCATAAACTAAGAAACAGTCCAGGGCTACAGTAGTATTTTCTGGCATTTCTTTCACACTGGGTTTGGTTTGTAAGTAAGAGCCATCAAAAATTCTCTAACCTCTAAGAGGGCTGAGGTCACTCAGGCCACTGTGGGGTATCACCAAGGGCAGAGCCGGTGGGACCATCAGAGTTTGCTGCCCTCCTTCCCACAGGCAAATACAGCCGAACACCCCTGAGCTGGGGGCCTGGCCTGCCAGCTGTTTCCCTGTGTGGCTTCCTTCTCTGTGGCAGTAGGTGGCTAGACTTCCTGCCTGCAACATGCACAGAGGACTGAGCGCTTCAGAGCGAGGTGGCTGAGAACTCACCAGCCCTTGGGTGGCCCTCCTGAGCCCTTGGCTCCTCACGGCCTGAGAATGTCGCATGATGGGACTGGTGGGTGAGATGGCGTCCTGTCCTGGACGGCTGTGTTCCCAGGCCCAGGGTGCTGGGGGTGGTCTCTTGCTGCACCTCCTTCCCCCTGCATCCAGCCTCGCTATCAGGACAGGACAGGTGCTTCCCCTGGTGACTGCGCACCTCTGGGGCCCCTTTCTTAGCAGCTGATATAGATGTGTGGCAGAGCCGGTACCTGTGTGGTGCAGGGCTGGGGTCCCCGTGGGGTGCCGGGGTGTGGGCTGCTCCAACCTGACTGCGCTGAGTTCCTGTCACTCACTAGGCATTTCCCGCCTTTACTTCTCTAGTCCTCCCCTGCCGACACCTCCTTTCACTCCATTTCCCTTTCTCTGTCACTGTTTCACCAATATCTTTTCCCCCAAAGACCCAGAGCACCTAGAAATGATTCAGAGTTTCTTTACTCTACCACTTTGAAGCCCAAGCAAGAAGCTCCAATCTGTTCCTTTTACTTCCTTCCCAAATAAAGGGGATTAAGAAAAGCTTTGGGTCAGAAATGAAGCAACCCAAGGCCAGCCCTTCAGCCTTCCTCCCTCCTCCCGGTGCATGACAAAATATTTATTTTGTCTCAGAGGACTGTGATGCTTCGAGGTCTAATGATGAATCCCTCCTCTGTATCCGCCACCAAATCTGACAGGGTCAGAGCTCTTCAGAGCATCTTCAGGAGGCGGTTGCCACGGAGACTGGAAATTGGTCCTGGGGACAGACTGTGCTACCTACTGGGTGGTGGGGAGGGGAGCTTCTGGCCACACTTGAATGTTCAGACCAACCATCATTAATGTTAATAGAGGAAATACAGCAATGTCAAAAGCAAGGCAAGTTTGTTAATTAGATCTGGGGCCTGATGACCTCCCTCTCTCAGGGCTCCAGCCCTTTTGACTTCCCCCAGCAGGAAACACTGCCTGGTGTGGAGTCTGGGCTGCTTACTTAATTGCATTTCTGGAAGGGAAGGAGAGCAGGGACAGAGAACCTCTGCTCATCCCTCGGCCCCACTGCTGCCCCTTCTCTCCCTCCTGTGGGTGGACTTGGTTTCTTCTGAGCTGGGTGGGGGCAGATGGGTGGGCTCTTCTGGAGGTAGAGGGCAAGAATGTGTGCTTTAGCTCATTAGCAAAGAACAGTGGCACCAGTGACAGCCAGGAGGTGGCTGATGTTCCCTGGTACCTTCTTAGGATCTTGCTGGAAGGGAGGAGCTCAAAGGAGCCAGAGAGGCAGCCGCTCTGAGTGAGGGGGAGGAAGGAGGCTCATTTGGCCACACCACGAAGGGTTCCTCTCTCTCCCTGGCTTTCCATGGATGGAAGGAGTATTGTCTGCTTCCTTCTTCCTCCTCCCTGCCCAGCCCGGCAGATACTTCTCTGGGGAGAAGGCCACGTGGTCGACACAGCTTTGAGTGCTCAGGTTTGTTGTTGGAAAATGCCCGGGAGAAGGGCTGTCAGGATGGTGCACTGAATGTGGGCTTCAGCCCCTGGAAATTGGCAAAAATGTGACATGCCCCACAAACTTGCTGGTGGAGGAAGAAGACATTGTTAGGCCAACCTGCAGCCAGCTGCTTTAGCTACATTTTATGTATTTTTAAAAAGTTTCCACATATGATCGAGGCCATTACTTTTGCAATAAATAGCTCTTATTTTGAATACCATGTTGTTCCTGTACTTAACTGAATCTGACTTGCCTTCTGGCTCCCAGAAAGAAGAAAAGAATGTTCTGAGTGTGAGAACCGTTCCTATGTGTCTCGTGTCTCAGGCCATTCTAGTTCCCGCAGAGGCCCTGGGCTGGGCAGGAGAGCCTGGTTGCTCCAGGGGCATGTGAGTCCTCCCCGTACAAGGTTACTTGAGTAATGCTGGTTGTGATTTTGATTTATTTAAACTTATTCCAAAGTAAGTTAGAAGCTGGACCTTATTTTTTCTCTTTTAACCTGCTCACATAGCATAGAAAGGAATGAGAAAGAGTAATAGGTGGCTGCTTCTGGGACAGGTTGAGTAGCCCAGCATTGTAGCAGCTGCCATTCTGCTTACAAGGCCCCCTCTCGACAGGGGTCTGCTGTTACCAGGAGTGATGAGAGTGGGAAGGAGGTAAGAGCTGACATGCACTGGACAGCAGGTGGGCAGGGGAGGAGTAGCACCATCCTGAGAGACCGGGGATCTTCAGGACTGCCTGACCTGCCTCCCCTTGAGTCCCTGGAAGCAGCTGGTGGGGGTGGGGTGGCAGGCATTTGGGAGATGGGAAACACTGAGCATGGCAGGCTAGAAAGGATCAAACACTTCTTGACTGGCAGAGCTCAGTTTACCAAGTTCTGACACGTCTGTGACATTTAATCCTCACAAAGACCCAGTGAAGTCAGTGCTGGTTTTGGTGGGGATTCTACCATTACTTGCCTAGGTTCCCATCATTAGTAAATAGAGCCAAGACTAGAGGCCTAGCTGGACTTTTTCTGCTTATCCAGCCTGATCTTGGGAGTAGAAGTGCATTCAAAGAACAACCTGGTGCCCTGGGGAGAAGGCCTGGACTCAGCTCAGAGGTGTCCAGATTCAGTGTGTTCCTGTGCACATTCTGTTTAATGCATCCACAGCTCATCTAGGGCCTGGGGTTTCCTGGTGCACCCAGTTCAGTTTTTTTCTGGGAGGAAAAAAAAAGCCTTGCTCTGTAGCACTTGCTGATTTCTAGGGTATAAATACTCCCACCTGGCCTATTTCAGGGTAACAACCTGATGTTGCTGAATGAGAAGTTGGAAAGATGTGCACAATTGGCTCTCACAAGCCATGTGTGCCAGTACACCACTGGTCCAGACCCAGTGACCTTGGCTTAGTCTGAACTAGGGACATGGCCCTTAGTCAGTATCCATTAAGGTGAGGGAGGCAGCAGAGCATGGAGGTCGAGAGGATGGGCCAGAGTCAGACCTGAGGTCAGATGCCGGCCCCACCACTCTGTGACCTCGGGCTCATTACCAAACCTCTTGGCTTCGATTTCCTCAACAGTAAAATGAAGGAGTAGTAAATAGTGCCTACTTCATAGAGTTATTGTGAGGATGAAGAGTGGATGACATGCAGGGTCTGGACAGGAATGCCTGATAAACGCCAGCTCTGTATGGTTGCTGATGGTAAACCAACCTTAGCTGCAGCACTGGCTCTAGAACAGTACTTGAACTCTCCTCAGTTAGAACCTCCTGCCCAAGTCACAGACAGATGCCAGGCAGGGAGTGGAGCCCCTGTGACTATTCCCTGGCCTCTCAGGCGTGGATTCAGACCCTCTGTCTCCTGGCTGGGATACACCACCCTGACAGCTTAGGTCCAGCCAGATCCTCAGGCCTTTTCTCCAAGGGGAGCAGAGATCAGAGTGTACTTAGCCCTCTCCTGCCTCCTCCTGGCTCTAGAAAGACAGAGGGAGTGCTGAGTCCACCACTTACTAGCTAAGGCCCATTAACTTCCCAGATCCCTGCCTCTGCCCAAAGAAGAAAGGAGGCAAGAAGTGCCCCAGTGTACACTGTTGCCAGGAACTGCAAACTGGATGGAGGGGAAGCCTTAACTGAGCAAGGAGCACTGGGCATCTGGACACTGACCTGGCTGCAGGGCCATGGGACACCCCATTGGAATCCAGTTCTTGAGTACCCCGGGCTTCTCCCTTTAGCCCCCAGTACCTCTGTGCTCTTACTTGGGGATTACTCAAGCTCTTCAGGTCGAAGCTAGGCTGCCTCAGTTTGTGTCTTGCTCTGCTGTTCCAGCCCAGAGACCCAAGGTGTGTGGGGAGATGGGGAAGAGAAGGGTCAGGATGTGACCCAAACTCCTGAGGCCTTGGAAGAGGGAGACCCGCTAGATGGTTTCACTGGGTGTGCCTGGGAGCAGGAAAGAGTTCTGAGTCAGTTCTGATTCAGGGCCAGCAGGAGGAGTTCTATCTAGAAGTCAAAGACTCAATACTCCATGCTTCGCACAGGTTTGGGCATGGAGCCTGTTTCATAACCATGGGACCAAAGGGAGAAGTAGGCAGACTGAAAGGAGATAGGCCCAGAAACAGAATAATGAACGAGAAATGAGAGCTTTGCTCTCCAAAACCTGGGCCATTACAACTGGGCTGATGCCTGAAGAACTTTCATGGTTGAAAGGAAAAGGTTGAGATCTAATCCTTAGGTGACCAACTTCACCCCCTGAATGGCAGCACGAGACCCTGTTACTTCAACTCCAATTTAAAGAAAGAGTACTTTTCTATTTAAACTTTTGAAAAACCATGGAGTCATGGAACGTTCAAGCTGAACGTCCTCAGCACCCAGATACTGCAGTGCTCACAGCTGCTGCACCAGGGGGCACTGGAGGCAGAGATTCCTAAAGACAGAGTCTCAAGAAAACCTGAGCTTGCCTGGAAGTGGCTGCGGCTTCAGCCCCCTTCTCTGGTGCCCGTCTAGCCACTTTGAACCCATTCATGGAGAGGATCCTCCCACTGGCACCTGGGGGGCTCTCAGGCCACCCTCGCCTGGCAAACAGGAGGGTGCCAGGCTCCAGGCCCGCCAGCTCTGCCAGCTGGGCTGGGGCTCAGGCTTTGCAGGGTTCCTTAATCAGACCCAGAGCTAAAGCAGAGGACCCCCCCCGCAACACACACACACAACCCTCCAGCCCTGGCTGCAGCCTGCTCACACAGGTAGATTCCCTGGCATCTCCTGGTCTGTCCTCAGTGTGAAAGGAAGGAGAGCCTGTGCCAAGGGGGTGGTAAACTCAAATGCCTCCAGGCAGTGTAAGTGGCACTAGTGGAGAGGTGGCGCATGCAGAGCCTACTACCAAAGGAGATCAAATTTGGAACCGTGCCTCAACTCGAAGTGGCAAAATTATCACCAGTTTCCAGATGAGAAACCGGCCCAGAGGGGCTCGACGATTTCTGTTAAACTCTGAAGCCTGGGCATGCCACTAGGTCATCCCCGGCCAGAGCCGGTTGCCCAGAGATGCGCGCCTTGATGGACGGGAGGGGGCGGAGGCCGCGGTCGCTTTAAAGCGCTCCAGCCGGACTGCGCGGGGCGGGGCGCTCAGAGCCTAGGGCCCCGGGAGTAGGGCTCAGCGACTGAGCGGGGTCCCCGGAGGCACCAGCTGGGCCGGCACGGCGGGGGCGGATCCACCTAGCACGGGGAAGGAGCGGTTGCTGGACCTCACCAGGCCAAGGCACAGGAGGCTATAGAGGGTTCGGAGTGGCCCGTGTTGCTGTGGAGATGGCGCAGCACGTGCGGTGACCGTGCCCGCGCCCCGAGGGTCTCAGCCTTGCGCTCGTGTCCCCTGGCGAGCATGGAGCGCCCGGAGCCCGAGCTGATCCGGCAGAGCTGGCGGGCAGTGAGCCGCAGCCCGCTGGAGCATGGCACCGTCCTGTTCGCCAGGTGAGAGCAGCCCGGGCGCCCCGGGGGTGCGGGTGGCAGGGTGCCTCGCCAGGAATGGGTTGGAGGCGGCTGGACCTGAGCCGCGTGAGTGAAAACTGGCCCTCTGCCGCTGCGCTGGGGCACCTCCAGATGTGCGCCAGAGGAGTGGGGCGCGGCGACGGGTGGCGCAACCCCTTCTGCCCTTATCCCGCGGGGGGAGCATCTTTTCGAGCTAGTACCGCATGCTCTGCTCCCAGCGGAGCTCCCTGGGGGCGGGCGGGGTCCTCTCCAGTGGATCTCCTGACACTCTGGCCAGCAGACGCCAATCCCCCGGCTACTGCCCCTTGAGCGTTAGTTCCTTGGGTGGTGAGTGCCGCGAAACTGGGGTGCCCTTGCAGGCGGCCCTTGCAGGAGGGTGTGCCGGGTGCCTGGCGGGCAGGTGCAGGGTCTGGCCCTAGGAGGGTGTGCACTTCCAGCAACCAACAGCAAACCTTTCTGAGGAAAAGAACAGGCTAGGACCAGAGAAACACCAGGGAAGTGATGACAGACGCCCAAGTCTCACCACTAGAGAGAGAGGGTTAAGGGGGTGCACAGACCCCAAAGGGGAAGGGGAGGCCAGTCTTCATCCTCACCTTTATGGTCTCTAGGTAACCCCTCTGCCATCACCAAAGACAATGCTCCCTCACCATGGTTTTTCAGGACTCCTGGCTCCCTAAGCCAGCCCAGAATTTCTGAGGAGGTTTTTGCAAAACCTCTCCCCAAATGAAAGGGGAATAAATTCAATTACACAGAACCCCAGTGAGCCGTCCCAGATGTGGCTGAAGAGTTTCTGCTTATGCTCTCAGCTTTCCCCAAGCCTACTGTTTTCACAGGCACCCTCTGTGACAATGCTACTCCTAAGCTGTGTGACCTTATGGAAGTTACTTAATGTCTCTGGGGTTCTCTTTCCTCCTCTATAAAATTGGCATAATGGTTATACCCACCATTTAGGATTGGGAGAAATACATAAGTTAACCACACACACTCAATGCTAAGTAAGTGTAAGGCATTCTTAAGACTACTGGCGTCATCACTGGCCCAGCCCCCTCAGACGTGATGGCTTGGGTGTTCTGACCTGAGAGTGGGGGCGGTGGGGTGGGGTGAGGGGAAGTGAGGAGGGAGAGATTTCCTTTTCCTCCAGGCTTCCTGTTTGAGGATGGATTCCTGTCCCAGCACCCCTCAACTGTTCGTGGAGGGGCCACTCGATGCCAAGTCCTGTGAGAGGCCTTAGGACACTGTCCTTTCTAGGATGCCCTTGGGAGCTGGTGCAAGAGGTGGAAGAGAGCATATGCAAAGCTGGCAGAGGGGTCAGTGCCAGGTCGGAGGGTGTGTTACAGTTTATGGCTGAGACCTGACCCACCCTCCTCCTACTGCTGGGCAGCCAGGGCTCATGGAGCTTGCTGGGGCCTGCCAGGGGTTAGCACTCTCCGTCTGACTCCTGGGCCTCCCCCAACAGGCTGTTTGACCTGGAGCCTGACCTGCTGCCCCTTTTCCAGTACAACTGTCGCCAGTTCTCCAGCCCAGAGGACTGCCTCTCCTCCCCTGAGTTCCTGGACCACATCAGGAAGGTGAGGGGAGGGCGGAGCCGGTGTGGCCCCTGGGCTCCAGCAGAGTGCCTTCCTGGGAGGGACGGAGGGATCTGGGATGGGGAAAATTACTCCGCCGCAGGCCTCCTTCTGCACCCCATGTCTGGGGCACCTCCTTTCCTCCTGTGCTGAGCTGGGCAGAGTCTGGGGCACCAGGGTCAAGCCTGGTGCTCAGTCAGCTGGCCCCAGCTCTGTCACTGCCCTTGGCCTTGTCCCCTGGCTCCTGCAGGTGGTGCCGATTCGTTAGGGCCCATCTGCCTAGGAAAACCAACCTGAGGGCTTTCTTAGAGGCTCGTGACTCGCACAGGGTCTCCGTTTCCCCTTGTCCCAAGCGGACAACACTGTCCAGCAGCCATGTTTAGAGCTTTGAGACCCTCAGAGGAGAGGAGCTTCCTTCACAGTGTAACATCAGCCATTTGCCCTCCACACGTGGAGCTCCTACTGTACGCAGACAGATCGCCTTGCATTTCTGATCCTGTACAGTGGAGGGTCCTGGTGGCCGCTCTCCCTCCTGGCTGGGGCCCAGGGTCCTGAACTCTGGATGTGAGCAGGGCGGTTGCTCTGGCCTCTCTGTTTCATTGCTGCCTTGGCAGGTGATGCTCGTCATTGATGCTGCAGTGACCAATGTGGAGGACCTGTCCTCACTGGAGGAGTACCTTGCTGGCCTGGGCAGGAAGCACCGTGCAGTGGGCGTGAAGCTCAGCTCTTTCTCGGTGGGTAAAGAAGGGGCTCATCCTCTCTCCAGGCCACCACTCTCCCAGTCCTTCCCTGCCCACCTGTTCTCTCTCCACATTTCCGTACCCACGGGTGGTCAGGGCTGGGGGCCTGCATCTGTTACTTACCTGCTGTGTGACCTTGAGACTGCCTTGACCTCTCTGAGCCTCCTGTTTTTCTTCCCTGGTGTGGCTTCTCTCAGAATCACAGAAAAGGAGTCTTTGGGATTGCTGAATCTACTTAGTTTTCTATTGCTGTGCATGAAACCATCCCAAACAAACAATGATTTCTGATTTCCCAGGGCTCAGCAGGGTGGTGCTTCTGTTCCACGTGGGGTGGCTGGGGCCACTCATGCCTTCCACTCAGCTGGGGGCTCAGCTGGAGCAGGAATGTCCAAGATGGCCTGTTATCTTGTGAGGTCTCTCTCCCTGTGGCATCGTATTGTTCGGAAGTGTAGCCAAACATCTGTACAGGGTGGCAGCTGAATTTCAAGAGGGAGTGTTCCGAGGGGACAAATCCCAGGAAGCAAGTACTTTTCCAGTCTTGGCTTTGCCCAAGTCCCGTTGGCCAAAACTAGTCACATGGTTGAGCCCAGTGTCAAGGTGGAGTGACCCCCTTCAAGGGCATGAATCCTTAAGGTATGCTTTTTGGGGGCCACTGACATAACAGTCTACCATGTAGCCTAATCACCTTGTCAGGCGGTAAGCACCTTGAGGGACAGACTGAGTTTGTCTCATTTCTTCTCTGCCCCCAGCACCCCAGATTAATAGATATTCAGTAAATATTTGCAGAATAAATAAACCTTATTTTATTATGATATTAATAATAAATGAAAGCCATTATTATTGTTGAAGTCTTACTGTCTACAGCTGCTATGCTAACAGCTGTTTTATAGATGATCTCATTTAATCATCCCAATCATCCCATGTGTTGGAATATTAACTTCCCCTCTTTTATTGATGAAGCACCTGAGACTCAGAGAGGTTATGTAACTCGCTCAAGGTCACACAGATCATACATGGTGCTGTCAGAAACTGAACTTGGGTCCTTCTGGTTGAGCCTGTGCCCCTAACATCTTGATTGCTGCCTCTCAGAGGAGGAAACTGAGGCTTTGGGGCAATGATTTTGCTTGGTCTGAGCTGCAAGGTCCCAGGCAACACCTTGGCCCCACTCAAGTGACTGCAAGGCTGGGAGAGAAGTGAAATGCTTAGTTCACTATAAAGCCTCATATTTAAGGGGAAAGGTGGGCACATTGTGGTACCTAAGGATTAGGGCAGAAT